TGCCAAGGTTGAGAAGCCCTACTCTAAAGAAATCAATTTAAAAAATTGCTTAAAGAGAGTGAAAGAGAGTTAAGAAGGTAGCTGAGAAAATTAAATAGAATACTAATCGTCAGTCAACCCAAAAAAAGGTAGAAAAGTGTAACAAATGTGCAAAATGAAAAACAGTAACAGGATGATATACTTAAACCCAACCATATCGATAATTTACATTAACAGTTCCTATAAAGGAGCTGAACACTCTCCAATAGGGGAAGTCTTTTTTGAAATGTTGCTAAGACAACTGGATATTTGTATGGAAAATAAAAAAAGCATTTCAAACCCTCTCTGGTTCTGAATAAAAATTTAAGTTTGAGATGCATCATAGCCCTAAATGTAAAACCTAAAACCATAAAGGTTTTTGAAGAAAATATAGGAGAAAATATCTTTGACCTTGGTGTAGAGAAAGACTCCTTGGGCACAGCACAGAAAAGTATGAACCATAAAAGAAAAAAAATAGGAAAGTACAATGGTACAAACACTTTTGAGAACTCTTTGGGGTTTTGTGATAAAGTTAAAATCACCTCTACCCCACGGCCCAGCGATTTCACTCCTAGACTCGTACACAAGAGAAATGGAAACATAAGGATGCAAAAGAACTTGCACAAGGATCTTCTTAGCAGTATTATCTCCAATAGCCCCAAACTGGAAACGACCCAAATGGATAAAGGAATTGTGGTTTAATCATACAAGGGAATAACACTCCCCAAGAAGAAGAATAAACTCCTGACACACAAAACACCACAGATTAATCTCAACACATTGTGTTTGGTCAAAGCAGCACGACTCAACATAATACATACTGTGTGAACACCCTTAATCCAAACAAGGCAGCACTAAGTCTACAGGCCTCGCTATCAGGAAGCCGCTGCTCCGCAGTGGGGGTGGGGTATGGGCGGGGCTGAGGCGTGGCTGGGAACCCACCGGAAAGCCGCCTTAGGAGCCGGGCTGAGATGATGGGAATGTTCCATACCGTGTTTTAGGTGGTGGCGACACGGATGTAGAAAGCTGCCCGAGCTCATGGAACTGAGCGCTAAAGTCCTGTGTGTTTTAGTGTATAAAAAACAAAATATCATTGCCAACTGCATCAGAAGTATAACATGTTTAGGAATAGATTTAATGAAAGATAGGTAAGACTGCTACATTGAAAACCTTGGAATATTGCTAACAGAAATTTAAAAAGTCTAAGTAAAAGGAGAAGCAGAGGACCTTCATAAATTGGAAGATTTAACATCATTACAATAACCTTTCCCCCACGGTTTTAGATTTAATAAAATCCAAATCAAAAGTTAAAAGACTCTTTTACAGAAATTGACAAGCTAATTACAAATTTTCGTGGAAATTCAAAGGACATGTAAAAGCCAAAGCCATATGGCAGAAGAGGAACAAAGTTGGGGGACTTATATTACCTGATTTTGAGACTTTGTATGACGTGTACCAGTATATACTTAGTATAAAGTTCCGAACTGCAGGTGAAGCCTAGGCCCCCTGCCAACCCCCATCTCTGCCCCCAAGCCTTGCACACCAGGCTTCTCCACTCCGCCCGTGGTTTCTTGTGGGGTCAGCCTGGTGCCGGGGCTCTCTGCACCGCAGACAGAACACCTGACCAAATGAAAGGAGCCTTTCCCATTCGTCTCCGTTTCATTAGGGGGCACCCCTCCTCCCGCAGGAGCCCTCCAGCAGACCTCCCTTGGGCCCCGCCGGCTGCCTCTCCCGCGTGGGAGAAAGTGGGAGGGGGCGGCCGGGGCGGCGGCTGCGCAGCGAGCTCACCGTCTGGCCACCCTCCCCACCAGCCTTTCCTCTGCACGAGTTCTGATCCCGCTTTTCAGTTTGTTAATGTAATTGTTAAAACATTTACGGTTAACAGGAATTTATCCTCGTTGTTGAAAGTGAAGTCTTTTTAAAAGGTGCTTTAAACGTAGGACAAAGTGGCCGAGAGGCAATTCCTGTTAACATTTTGGTACATTTTCATCCTGCTTGTTTCTGTACAGTTTCTACCTATGTAGCCAGAAGGGGGAGGAGGGGCATTTCAACCCGTCCCTGCAGCTGCTGCAGCCTTTTAAGAAAATGGGCTAATTTATCTTGTGGGGAGTCGATATTTTAAATCTCGGAAATGTCTTGAATGGACTTCTTTAAGGGAGAAATACAAGCAGCACTCACCTGCGCCCTGCCTCGCACGGGCTCTGAACGGCGAGAGTAAAACATAAGCAGGGCTAAATGGAAAGACATTTTAGGAGTTATTCCTTGATAACCTGAAACAAGAGGAAGGACTTGGACACATGAGGAACTGGCCAGGTGTGAGGAGAGAAGACTTGGCCGCGGGCAGGGGGCGTCTGGTCCTTCCAGGCTGCCATAGCAACGTATCGCGGTGGGCGGCTTATAAACAATGGGAGTTGACTTGCCACGGCTCTGGAGGCTGAAGTCTGACTGAGCTCAGGGTGCCAGCAGGGTCGGTCCTGGCAGGGCCCTCTTTGGGGCAGCAGACTGCATATTGGTCGCATCTTCATGTGGTAGAAAGGAGAGACCATCCCTCCAACCTGCTCTAGTGAAGACACTCCTCCTGCTCATTAAGTCTGCACCCTCCTGACCTAATTACCTCCCAAAGGCCTCACCTGGCAAGCCATCACACTGGACATTAAATTTCAGCATATGAATTTTGGAGGGACACATCCGGTCCTTAACAGAGGGCCACAGTAGGTGGGAAATTTGCTTGATGAGAAACGTTTTAACTATCTATGTGTAACAAACCACCCCGAAACTTGGAACAGCTTCAAGCAAAATGTAGGATTTCTAATGGTCCTGTGAGTTGTTGGTAGTCCGTTAGGGGGCTCTCAACTGGGGGCTGTTGCAGTTCGGGCTGGAGTTGTCTGAAGGCCCCACTCCCGAATGAGCTCTTCACTCCTGCGCCTGGTGCCCAGAGGGCTTGACAGGAGCATGGGCAGCTGGCTGGGCATCTCTCCCTCCTCACGGCCTTGCCACATGGTCAGCGTGGCCTCCCTGTCCAGGGAAGCAGGCTCAGCGTTGGCCCTCTTACGGAAGCATGCTTTCCAAAAGGCCTGGGTGGAAACTGCAGGGCTTCTCTTGAAAGACATTGCACTGGGGACTTTTTGTGTCCTCGTGGGGATTTGCAGGCTTCTGTTTGGATATTGATGGGAAAGGAAGGCTTGAGAATTTGGAGGGCACACACAGTTCAGAGCACATTATACACACACACATTTGCATTTCAAACTTTTTATTTAAAATGAGTTCAGCCCTGGCTGGTGTGGCTCAGTGGATTGAGCACTGACCTGTGAACCAAAGGGTCACTGGTTTGATTCCCAGTCAGGGTACATGCCTGGGTTGCAGGCCAGGTCCCCAGTAGGGGGTGCAGAGGGGTGACTCCTAACATCCCTGCCAGCTCTAATGTTTCACTACCCCAGGCTGTGCTGACCTCACCCAAGGACTCAGACTATCCAAATGCGCGATCTGTGTTTGTCTCTATATCACTTACCTTACATACAGGGTGATGGTGTCCATCCTTGTTGTACTCTTTGTCCTCACAAGACCCATGAAACGGCCCTTCCCTTGGACAATCTGTCAAAGGACTGCCCATTCAAACTGGCCCTGGGCCTTCAGGCTTGTTTCCGGAGCTCATCCCAGACCAACACACCCCATCAGCACACGCCACTGTACTGATAGACTCTTTGGAGGTCTGCTCCCACATTAACTGCACATGAGATAACCAAGGAGTTGTTGGAGAGTGCGAAGGGTTTCCCTTGAGAGTTGGTCTTCGGCTCACACAAAATCCAGGAGTTGGCTTAACATAAAGATTCTCAGTGGATTACAGGATAAAAGAACCTCAAGGCCAACAGCATGGGCCAAACACATTTCTCACATTCACTATTCCCCACCTAAGCTGGCCCCTTCCAATTCCTCTCTCTCCCTCCCTCCATCCTGCAGTAACTCTCTGACCCCAGGAGAAGAGGAGTTTATCTCCAACCTCGTGCTCAGGAAGTACTGTTGTTAATAAACAGCTCTGCTCTGGCTGCTCTGCGTTGGAAAGTTGGTGGGAACACCACAATGCCAAGGCTACACTGGGTAGAGCCAGGTAAATATCCACAAGGGTGTGGAGCCCTCTCCGTTAAGGGCCCAAACCCCAGCTGCAAGTGATCCAGAAACCTCTGATCCGCACGAGCCAGCCTCAGAAGCACAGACCCCTGAGCCCTTTCCCAAGTGAAGTGCGGTGGATTCCATCAGTGTAGCATCTATTCGAGCCCCATCCTGTGGAACAATGCATTCTGGCCTGCCATTAACACGGCTCAGTTTCCTGTGAGAGGAACACACTGCCTTAAGTGCAGGACTTGCCTTGGTCAGTGGACATAGCCACCGTTGATTCCACCAGCTCTTCTTCCCTGCTCTCTGTTAGAACAGGTTGCAGACAAGGCCTGCTGCCCTTCGGCCCAGACCCGGAGAGGGAAGATGCGTGCAGCGGGGACCCAGCCAACGAGGGCGGCCAGTGGCGGGCAACGTGGACGGAGAGAAAACACGGCTGTTGGCAACCTCTGAGATTTGGGAGTTGTTCTTGAAGTACAATCTGGCAAGGGCTAATACGCCAGGGGTTATAAAGCCAATGCTTATGGGCAAAGGAGTGAAGCAGCGAGAATGTGTAAGGCGTGGGGCTGGCAGGGCTGTGGCAGATTCCAGAGAAACAGCCTAAGGTTAGGCTCCAGTACTGAACTTTGCTGAGTTAAAATGTAAAAAATACCATTTTTGTGGTTAAACGTCAGAGGCCAAGATCTTAATAACACTGCTGATTACTATTTTCTACCTGAAAGCTTAACTACAAAGAAGCATCTAGTTAAAAGCAAAACATACAACGGGCCAACCTCTTAATGGTTTTCAGTCATTTCACTTTTAGGCACCCATTTCTAGGTGAGAAGAAACAACTTTCTGAAACTCGACAATTATTCACATTTTATTTGTTGTTTAATCTTATCTTAAAATGAAGAGAAATTGGTTTTTATTTTAGAAGTTCTCTTTCAAAAACTTCTGTTAGCTTCCCAAACATCAATACAAACTTCTACAAAATTGGTCAAATCTAATCATACCACTAAACCAACCACCATTTGTCTTGAAGAAAGTAACTCCTATATGAATGGGGGGGTAGATTAATTCTAGAGAATATTTCACTTAATTGATTTTATTATAACTGGGTCAGGCCTGAGAATAGGACAATGGAAATAGCCTTTTTAGAGAATCACACATTGTAACAGTTCTAGTTGCAAATGTCTCTTATAGAAGAGTTACAAATATCTGTGTATTAGAGCTGACTACATACGTACCAAGTTTCTATTTTCTGCCAAAGGATGTGATTGTTCACCATCACGTAATCCAGAAAAAAGGAAGCAGTCGTCTCCTACCAGTCATAACAGGAAATTGCACAATCCCAAAAATACGGGGCAAGGAGTGATCCCCTTTGGCCTCTGAGTAGTAGATCCAACAAAAGATGCATCCCAAGGAAAAAGAAATGTGCTCCCACACAACAGGAAAATCAGGGGTTTTCAGACCACACGAGGGCTTTCCTCTGGATGTGAAAACTAGTAACAATACAGCAGCATTAATTTTTTTTCTCTTTATTCTCAAACCAATTGTTAGAGAAAACACAGGAAGCAGGTAAGTGACGAAACTCAAATCCTCAGTCTTCTCTTTCCAACCTCAGTCCTGGAATGCAACACTCTTTCATTATATTCTGGCCATTTTTGCCTGGAGTCCTTCTCAAAAGGAAACATACTGCCCGGCATTCTGTATTATCCCTAATTCCCAGGTGGAAAACGAGACTGATGAAGTGACATTTAAAGATACTGGGGACTATATTTTTCAAAACAGGACAATAATTCAGATCTTCCTTTAATTCTTCTCTATATCACCACAGTAAAATATTCATCAAAGTCAAAGAGCTTACTGATACACGATAATGACCCTACATTAATGAAGCCGTGAATAACTCATTAGTGAAGTAATGGAAAAAGAGTCCAAAGGTGATTCACTATTGTGTTCGTACAGTATTGAAACAACCATAATACTTAAACAGCCATAACACTTAAAATATTAACTCTAAAAAGTATTAAATAATAATTGTTAACTTTGAAATACTGCCACATGTTGAAATACCTTCTGAATGACCAAAAACAGATGAAGTTTTGTTTGGTGTAACTCTAAGGTTTTTATACACAACTATATATTTTTAAATATTGGTAATCCACATAAAAGATACACGTTTAAAACCCTTAATAATGAGACTATTCAATAAATAAAGCGCCACGTTGCTTTGTTCTTATGAACTAAATGAGCTTATAATTCAATGAGATCCTTTTAAGAAGTTCTATAGAATGAAATGTTCTAATTGTTTAGTCCTACTAACAGAACACTGTTGAACTCTTCTCAAGATCATCTTTAAAGGGCCTGACTTGATTCCTGTCCAAATATAACACAAGCAGAGTGTAACCCTGTAATGTCTGGTCCATGGGCTTCATTTCCGTGTAAGCCGGAGAGTGCCCTTCCCACGAGCTCCCCGTCAGAGACTGTATAGCACCAACTCCTGACACCAGGTGCTCCGTCCTCCTCCCAGTGTTCGGTGGAATGTCAAGTTAATAATGGCAGGTGGTGTTCCTTAGCATAACCTGCCAAAATGTGATAATCTCTTTGGAAGAAAAACCGTGGGCTGCAATCAGGCGTCTGAGCTGACAGACATCCAGATGAATCCTGTATATAAAGAAAAGGTTTGTGTCTTCTGGGATATGAATGTCCACTTTCAATAAATTCAAACAGATCCCAACATAAACATCTTCGATCTTGATGGGTTTTACGTGACTCATCATTTCATAGATTTTTGGCACCAAATCTCTGGACATTATATAACCGAACCCACTGCAGTAGGGAGGATACACCTTGAAAGGATACTCCTGGTATGAAATACGGTGTTTTTGGTAAATGATTCCTCTATAGGAGTAATTATCAATGAGAGGATAACCTGTGAAAAACTTCTCTGACTGGTTTAAATTTAAAAGGTACTTTACTAAATTGCCAGTATTGATGAAAACATCAGTGTCTGTCTTCATGATGTACTTGGCATTGGGGCAAAACTCGGTTACCCACCTGAATGCCATAATCGTTTTCAAGGTCAGGTTATTATATGTGTCTAAAAAGTCTTGTCGTATTATGTCACCGTAAAGAAGGTGTTCATCCTCCAGGGACAATGCTAACACTTTGTCTTCCCTCTCAGCCTGCTGGCCTAGTAAGAAAAACGTAAGAACCTCATAGCCCCACCAAGACTTTTTTTCACCCCAAGTAACTCTAACAGCCTGTCTGGCTTTCACATCCGAGGGGTGTGAGGTCACCAGGATGACAAGAAATGGGTTTTGATGAGAGCAGTTCGAACGCTCTTGCAGGGTAAAGCGAAAGTTCTGCCTGTAAATGGGCTCGTACTCGTAGAAGTACATCCAGTTTACGCGTTCTATCACGTTGTACTGCGGCAGGCTGAGGTACCACATCACAAGGAAGCTCAGGAGTGACAGCAGGAGGAGGCTCCACTTGAGGGATCTCAGCGACATCCTACTGGGAAGGCTGGTCACGGGGGCCAGGGCCATCCGCAGCAGCTCAGAAGTAGGTGGCTCAGGTTCTGGAAGATTATCAGAGACCCGGTGAGCAATCCACCCCCCAAAACGACACGTTTTCAAATGATATCCCACTATCTACTCAAGGAGAAAGGGCAAGAAAGGAGAACACAGCTCTGAACAAAGCCAAAAGTTCTGACCTGAATCTTACTAACTTCATTTAACTGTAAACAAATGAACACCAACAACCAAAAATATATTTGAGGGGTTTTTTTACATCTAGAGAAAGGTTAAAACTATTCTTGATTATTTTTGAAAATTAGTACTTAACTGTTGCAATATGATCCTTATCCCAAATGTCCGGGGAGACAGAAAGAAATGAGTAACAGAGGTGGGTTTAAAAAATAAATCTATGAGCCCTGCCTGGTGTGGCTCAGTGGACTGAGTGCCAGCCTGTGAACCACACAGTTGCTGGTTCGATTCCCAGTCAGGGTGCAGGCCTGGGTTGTGGGCCAGGTCCCCAGTGGGGGGTGCACAAGAGGCAACCATACATTGATGTTTCTCTTCCTCTCTTTCTCCTTCTCTTCTCCTCTCTCTAAAAATAAATAAATAAATAGAATTTTAAATAAGTAAATTTATGAGGTATTTTGGAGGGACATCAGATAAATGATGTCATGAACAGATCCCCCTGGCTTCTCCCCTTTAAGTCTCAACCATTTGAACAGCTCTAAGTCAACAGAGATTACCACGGAAACATCTAAAGGGAGGCAGTTGGGAATGAACTGAGGAGGCGAGAAGGGAGAAGGGCTGGGACAAGCCACAGATGCAGCCCCGCAGCCCCAGAGCTGAGGGAGGGACTCAGCCCAAAGAGGGGAGGAACTGGTTTGTGGCTGGCACTCCCTTCAGCTTCGAGGAGCAAACATTTGGTGGGCATTCCTGCAGGAGTGGGCTATACAAGCTGCCGCTGAGCCAAGCGACTCGGGCAGGGACACAGCACAGAGGTGTGGCCACGGTCGTCTGATGGTCGCATTCCTTACAGAGGAACGAAGGCCTGGAAGCCTGGCCTCCTCTTAACCTGGCAGAGCTCACCTCCCTTCACCCTTGATGTCTGGTTGCAGAGCACATTATCTGCAAACCTGAGAGCTGGTACTTTAGAATCACTTTTTCTCTGAACAAAGGGTGCACTCTGTGACTCCCAGAATCTGGGGACACGGGGGTACTCCTCAGAGGTTCAAGGTCGACATTACCAGGAGGGCAAAGCAACTTAGAAGGCAGTCGGGTTACTCCAGCCTACCCTGCCCCCATGCTTCCTGGTATACCAATGACAGTGTCTGCCTGTGGGGGGCAGCACTGGGATTTCATGGATCTGGAGCCCCATCACCCACCTCATTCCGCTGCTGGGTTGGTCCCCTGGGACTAGGGTGACTGGATCACAGGGGACCCACTTTCCCATTTTTACCACCCTGCGGAGATGTGAAAAGCCAGAGAAGTACAAGAGAGCTAAAAAAAAACTTGTGATTCACTGCCACTTACTAGAAAATAATAGAAAGACTTCTTCATGTCAATCTATTAGAGAATTGCCATTCTTACATAGATGCCTGGACAGAGAAGGAATCCATCAAGTACCATGAACAGCCAAAGTAATGAGGCAGCTCAGAAAGAAAATGAAAATATCTCCCCCAAACAAACTTAAAGACATGAAAATATGTGATTTAAATGACAGAGAACTCAAGATTGCAGTTCTGAAAAAATTCAATGAGTTGCAAGAAAACACAAATAGGCAGTTTAATAAACTCAGAAACCCAATCAATGAACAAAGCAAGTACTTTACCAAAAAGGTTAAAACTTAAAAAAAAAAAACAAATAAAAGTTCTGGGGATGAAGAACTCAATAAAAGAGATCAAGAATGAAATAATAAGCATAGAAAATAGAGCAGACTAGAAGGATGAAAAGATTAGTGATATCAGAGACAGAAATCTAGAAATGACACAGAGGGAAGAGAGAGATTTGAACATAAATAAAAATGAAAGACCTCTGTGAGAACTGACTCCATGAGAAAGAGCAATATAAGAATAATGGGTATACCAAAAAGAAAAGAGAGCTGAAATGGGACAGAGAGGTATTCAAACAAATAGCTGATGAGAACTTCCCAAACCAATGGAAAGAACTAAGTCCTCGAACCTAAGAAGCAAAGGAACAACTAAACACCCCAAAAGGCCTTCTCCAAAGCACTGTACTAGCCTGTCAACAATTAATAACAGAGAAGGCAGCCAGAGGAAAGAGGAAAGTAACCTATAAAGGAAATCCCAGTAGGTTATCATCGGACGTCTTGGCAGAAACTCTACATGCTAGAAAAGAGTGGAAACCAATTAATTATTCAAGCTACTAAAAGAGAGAAATTACCAGCCAAGAATATCTCTAGCAAAGTTATAGGAAGAAGAAATAAAGACTTCTCCAGACATACTGAAGCAGAGGGAATTTATCACCAGAACACTTCCTCTGCAGGAAATACTCAAGAGGGTTATTCTACCTAAAATGAAGAACAAAATGTCACAAAACTACAAGTAAGATGACTAACAGACTTACAGCATAAACAGGGATAATTTTTGACAACAGAAACGTAAAAGGGGAAGAGGTACTGGTCAGAATTTGCAAAAGGGGATGGAGATCAGACAAAGGGCTACCATATGCATGAAACTTTCTTTTTCATAAACCTAATGGTAACCACAAACCAAAAAACCAAAAACTGAGACAAATAACTTTTAAAGTTACAGAAATTTGTATGGATTATCACCAAACAAAAACAAAGGACAAAAATGTGAAGAAAAAGAACGAACAGAGGCACAGAGTTACCAGAAAACAAAAGATAAAATGGCTACAGGAAGTCCTCATACATCAATAATCACTCTAAATGTATTGGTAAATGGAGTAAGTTAATAAAAAAATGGCACAGGGTAGGAGACTGGATCAAAAAACAAAACCCAGGCATATGCTGCCTTCAAGAGACTCGTCTAAGCTACAAAGACAAAGACAGACTCCAAGTGAAAGGGTAGAAAATGATTCTCCAGCACATGACAGGGAAGCAGCTGTAACCATACTTGTATCTGACAAAATAGATCTCAAGATAACAAAGGTAACAAAAAAAGATGGATATTTTATACTGGTAAAGGGAACACTACATAAGAAGACATAACATTTCTTAATATATATACACCAGTCAAGGAGCACCAAAATATATATAAAGCAACTAACTACTAACAGAATTCGTGGGAGAAACTGACAAAAGCACAGTCGTAGTTGGGGACCTAAATACTCCACTGACAGCTCATTCAAACAGAAAGTCAACAAGGAAATACTGGCTTTAGATGACACGTTGGACCAAATGGGCATAACTGACATTTATGGGAACAGGAGATTATACATTCTTCTCCAGTGTGTGTGGAACATTCTCAAGGCTAGAACGCAGTTGGATCACAGGCTACTAGCCTCCACATAATCAAAAAGACTGAAATCATACCAAGCACATTCTCTGATCACAATGCTTTAAAATTAGAAATCAGCTGCACAAAGGAGGTAAAGAAACCCACAAATATGTGGGTCAAAGAAGAAATAAAAGGTGAGATCAAAAGATATATAGAGACAAATGAGAATGACAATACACACATAACAAAACTTCCGGGATATAGTGAAAGCAGTAATAAGAAGGAAGTTTGTATCATTACAGTCCTATCTCAAGAAATAAGAGAAATCCCAAGTGAACAACCTAACATTACATCTTAAAATACCAAAAAAGAAGAAAGCAACCCAAAGTCAGCTTTCTGACTATCCCAAAAGAAAGAAGGAAACAGTAAAAATTAAAGCAGAATTGAATGAAATAGAGAACAAAAAGTCTATATAAAAATTAATACAAAAAAGAGCAGGTTCTTTGAAAAGAGTATCAAAATTTACAACCCCCTGGCCAAACTGATGAAGGGAAAAATGTGAAGACTCTCATAAACAATATCAGAAATGAAAGGAGAAGTTACTGCAGACAACACAGATATACAAAGGATTGTACTAGAATACTATGAAAGGATACATACCACCAAATTCAATAACCTAGAAGAAATGGATAAGTTCCTAGAAATATACAGCCTTCCTTGACTAAATCATGAAGAACTGGAAAATCTAAATAGACCTAATCAACAGCGAGGAAATTGAAACAACCATCAAAACCTCTAGGACCAGATAGCTTCATCAGTAAATTCTACCAAACATTTCAAGAAGATCTGATACCTACCCTTCCCAAAATCTTCCCAAAAAATCAAAGAAGAGGAATATTTCCCAACACATTTTATTCTGCCAGCATAACCCCAAACCTAGCAAGGATAACACACAAAAAAGGAAACTACAGACCAATATCTCTGATGAATATGGATGCAAAAATCTAAACAAAATCAAATACAACAATACATTATAAAAATAATACATCACCATCAAGTGGGGCTCATCCCAGGGGCACAAGGATGGTTCAACATATGCAAATCGATCAATGTAATGCACCACATTAACAAAACAAAGGATAACAATCATATGATCTTATCATTAGATCCAGAAAAAGCACTTGAGATACAATATCCATTTATGATTAAAACATTCAATCAAATAGGTACAGAAGGAAAGTACCTCAATATAATAAAAGCCATATATGACAAACCCTCAGCCAATATCATACTCACTGGTGAAAAACTGAAAGCTTTTCCTCTAAAGTCAGGAATAAGGCAAGGATGCCCACTCTTACCACTCTTAATCAACACAATTCTGGAAGTCCTAGCCCAAGTAATCAGGCAAGAAAAGGAAATAAAAGGCATCCAAATTGAAAATGAAAAAGTAAAATTGTCACTTTTGCAGACAGTATGATTCTGTGCATAGAAAATGATAAAGATTCCACCAAAGAATTCTCAGAAATAATAAACACAGTAAAGCTGCAGGATACAAAATCAATGTGCAAAAATCCACCACTTTTCTGTGTACTGACAATGAAATTTCAGAAAAAGAAAAATACCTAGGAATAAACTTAACAACGTATGTGAAGGACCTATATACTGAAAACTACAAAGCATTATTAAAAGATGTTGGAAAAAACACAGAGAAATGTTCCATGTTCACAGACTGGAAGAATCACCACAGTCAGAATGGCTGTCATTACCAGCTGTGTTCTGCCCTTAGCACCTTTCCCATCCTATTTGTTTCTCTAAGTTGATTTTTATTGTCAAAGGGATTATTTTCAAGAAATAGTCTTGATGAATTCTTACTACTTGAAGAAAAGTAGGTTTCAAAGCCATAAATATCATGACAGTCTGTAATTGAAGGTCTATGTCTTACCTTCTTCTTGATTTATTTTTTTCTGAGTGAAAGGCCTTCAATTTCAGCAACTGAACATTCAGCAGTAATATGCTTGAAATTTCTGTAAGATATAAGAAATGTAACAGCATTTGCTTATGGGTCAAGGGAGTAGAGAGGTCATAGAGGGAAAGGGATCTTAGAAGTTGAAATAAAAAGTTAAAAAAATACTACTAGTTCACAGAATTCAGAGAGTTTGTGGCTTCATCAAGGAAGAAGGGCAGCTGATGTTCAAGACTTAAGACCTGTATCTAGGTTCGCCCATCAGCTGGTGACTCCGTCACCCTATGACAGTCCCACTTCCTGTGATGAAGAACTCAGGGGTCATTAAAAGAAGTGAGACACAGCACTTCTAAGTGACACGCTGCTGATATCCTCTCTTCAATTCTCTGTTCCAGTAACTATTTTGTACAGGGATTGCAGGAACACCTGTCACACTCGGCAGCGTCGGTGTCAGTGTGGAAGAATGGAGGAGGTGTGTGGTGAAGAGGGGAAAAAATAGACTAGCCACAAATACTATAAAATAGCTGTTAATTCAGGGTGATGGAAAAATAGGCATTCTTGTATATTTATAGTTTTCTTTGCATTTTAAATTTATCCAAAAAATGAGAAGAAAAAGCATAATAAAAATCCTTGGATATCGTAGTTAGATGGTCCACCCTAAATCCTGGCTGCAACACTACATTGGTTGTGTGACCTTGGGGAAGTTACTTAACTTCATAAAAGTTTGTTTTTTCCTGTATAAATCAAGCCTTACAATACTAATTCGGTTACTTAGAAGGCTGTGGGGAAGAAGGTGGATGAACCAGTCAGCTCAGGGGTCCTCAGTAACTTCTGACATGAAGTGACACACAGGCATGCGGACAGATGCGCACACTATGAACTCACAGGCATCTAACCCCCTGGCCTCACCTCTGGCGCGGGCTCAAGCCCTGACAGTGGCAGCGCAGGGCAGCTGGTCTCCCAGCACAGCCCAGCCTGGGACAGCTGAGCAGTGGGCCCTGTGAGCCCTGGCACTGTCCTAAATCCCATAGCCCAGGGGAGGGGCAGAAAGAGGCCCTAAAACACTGATGAAGAGAAAAATACAAAAAGGCCAAACAGGGAAGTAGACCATTATTTCATCATAGACTCCTTCAATAATAATGTCACACATCACGATCAAGAAAGCAATTATATATAAATTGTAATTTAAAAAATTTCCATTTTATAAAAATAAATGTGTGATTATATACCGTATTTTTAAGACCATAAGATACACTGGACTATAAGACACACCTAGGTTTTAGAGGAGAAAAATAGGGAAAAAAAGTTTTGAAGCAAAAAATGTGGTAAAAATATTTAATAACCTATGACCCCGCTCCAACCCCGCACCTCCCATCCCCACAGTAACCCAGGCACGCTACATTCGGACTATAAGACGCACCCTCATTTTCCTCTCAAATTTGGGGGAAGAGCATCTTTGGTTCACAGGCCTGTGCTCAATCCACTGAGCTACACCAGCCAGGGCTGGAAAATGCGGTAACTACACACGTGTTCACCAACCAGACCTAAGCAAACCACCTTTCTTGCCGCACAAGCCTAGCGCAATGCTCGGGACAGAGCAGGCCACCGGTGAGTACTTGTCAACTTGGTAGTTGATTCCTAACAGCTGAAAAAACATCTGAACTAACAGAAAAGCCCAGAAAACCTCCGGAGACAGCACACGCTGTCAGTGTCTAGGTTATGAAGTGGGCCCGGGGTTTAACCAGCAAGTGAAATCACCATCCCCGGACGAGCACTCGGCACCTCGGCTATCGCTGGGGCCGCTCACCGCCCAGGCCAACCGCAGGCTGTGTCTACGGGCGTCTGAGCGTCGGAGGGGCTCTGCGGACCCCAGAACAGGAAGTCACTCAAACAAACCTGCACTGTTACTTTAAATGGAGGGCTTCTCAGAGTTCTTAATGTTAACGTGTGTTCTCTCGGAAGAGAGTATGTTCTACAGTGTTTCTCAAATTTGTCTGAACAAAAAAACCTATTTTAATTTTCAGAGCATCTGGCAGGACTGAAATTCCACACTTAGGGAAATCCTGTCCTAGAACATCTTTGCGCTCACTGAATTGAGAAACTACTTTCTGTGAATTAATAAATAAATATTTAAGGGTAATTTGGAGTAAAAAATAATTTTTTTGGAGCAAATCAGTTCAATCGCTTCAAAAAACTTTTCAGTGTTATTTACTAAGGCTGAACATGTATGTACAGCAACCCTATGATTCGGCAACACCACTCCTAGATACAACACTCGACAATGTGTGTGCGTATCAGGAAACCAAAATACGTGCAAGAAAGTTTGTAGCAGCACAACCTGGAATCAACCCACAGGAGAAGAGAGAAATAAATGTACATAACAGCAAAGTGTACAAAATGAAAAGGAACAAACTACAACCTCACATGACATCATGGAGAACCTCCTAATATAATGTTGAGCTAAAGAAACCAGATACATAAAGAAGAGACATTTTTCCATTTACACAAAGTTGAAAAGCAGGCAAAAATAATCCACGGTGTTAGAACTGAGGACTCCAGGGATGTGGGAGGAAATACCAATTGGGAGGGGCTGAAGGGGACTTTCTGGGGTGCTGGCCATAGTCTATTTCTTGACCTACACTGTGGCTACAGGTGTATTTACTTGAGTAACTCAACTTCTAAATTGTGCACTTTTCTTTTTGTCTGTTACACTTCAACAGACACATTAGGGAAGTGTGGCCATGCTGCCAGTCACTCTGCACTCCTGGTGACTGTGCGCGGTCGGTGTTGGCAGGTGTCTACACCACGTGACAGCCCCGGGGTCCCCAGTCCTGGTGAGAGCACTAGCCAGCAGTGCCCGGCACTAACCCATGTGATCTTCTAGAGAGCTCACGAGTTAAGATGCTTTTAAAACCTTTACTGTTTGCATTTAATTAGGTAAGAAAACTAAGGCTATGGAAGAGTCAATAACTCACCCAAAGCTGCAGGCTTGTAAGTGGTGGAGACAAAATCAAACAGGACTCCACATCTCAGGTTCACAGCCACCACACTCCTATCTACCCTAGGGAGTCTGCTGCATGCCCCTGGACTAGAGCTGGTCTGAGGGGGTTTTAATTTCTTGCAACCACTGAATCTTGATAGAAACAGAAAAGCAACATCAGAGTCTTACTGTCTTTAAGCAAAAAGACTCAAGATTCTCATTCTCAAAATCTGAAATATGCCCTGGCTGGCGTGCCTCAGTGGATTGAGCGCTCACGTGTGAACTGCAGGGTTGTGGGTCTGATCGGTTCTCCGTTAGGGCACAGGCCTGGGTTTTGGGCTGGGTCCCCAGTTGGGGGCATGTAACAGGCAACTGATCGATGTTTCTCTCCCTCTTTCCACCTCCCTTCCCCTCATTCTGAAAATAAAAAATCTTTAAAAGAATCCTGAAACATGAAGTAGTAACAACAGTAATAGCTAACAACTAACCATTCATACGAACACACTTTTTATCTTGCAACAAAAATATGCTCGAAAAGAAAAACCCTAGGAAGTAAATTGGGGTTGAGGTGACACAGAGAAATCAGCTCAAATGAGAATCAATGTTCCAGAGAAACGGAACCAAGAGTTACTGCAATGGTACAGTTATGTAAACCAAAGGAACCTGGAATTGCTTCCTGGGATGCAAAAATGTTGGTTGCTTTTCTGCAAAAGGAAAGCAAATTTAATTATTTTCAAAAACATGCAAAATATTTTCTAATTGCAAATGTAACACATGTTCATTAGAGAAAGTTTTGTGAATGCAAAAAGGCACAAAGATAATAAAAGCTTAAAGATAACATTACCGTTTTTAACGAAGATTTACCAAGTCTGTCTCTCCATCCCATCTGCCGCCACTGCCTCCTCGCATCCCTACCACAGCCACGGTGGCTTCCAGTCTGACCCCTGACTGTGTCCACCTCTTACCCTCCCTTGCAGAATCTGCACTTGCTCTCCCTCTCAAAAGCTGGTTTGGGGGGGAGACAGGGGTATGAGGGGACCAAAAGGTAATGGGAAAAAACAACAACAACAACAAAAGCTGGCTCTGGAGAAGGCTGGTTCTTTCTCATGCCTCGGGTCTCAGCAAAATGTTGTTTGTCTGAGAGCGTCCTTCCCGGACCTCCTATTGCAAGCAGTTCCCCCAGGCCCTTATTTTCTATCACATCCCTCACTATCCTCTCCTTAGCATTTAAACCCTACCTGAATTTTTTTGTCTGTTCCCTTCACAAGAATGTGTGATTCATGAAGGAAAAGACCTGTCCATTGCCATGCCATATCTCTGGCACCTAGCACATAGTGGGTGCTTGCTAGATATCTGAATATTGTACACATAGTCTGATAGTGTGCTTCTTTATCCACTTAGTATATTGAGAAAATATTCCCAAGAATGAACTGAATCCAAAAGTAAACCCCCAAATTTCTGTTAGATGATGCTTCCTTTTCTTTAGCTATTTTTTCCTAATACAAAGCTTTATTCTTTTTTTAAGACTTTATTAATTTTTGTAGAGAGGGGAAGGGAGGGAGAAAGAGAGGGAGAGAAACATCAATGTGGTTGCCTCTCGTGCGCCCTCAATTGGGGACCTGGCCTGTAACCAGGGCATGTGTCCTCACTGGGAATCAATCTGGTGACCCTTTGGTTCGCAACCTGGCACTCAATACACTGAGTCACACCAGCCAGGGCCAAAGCTTTATTCTTATATGCTACACTGATTCTGACCATGTGCAGTTTAAAAGGTCCACAGAGGAAAAAATTTTTTTCAATGGAAATCAAGCACGCTAGATTCAGGATCATCCAAGGAGGAAGCACGTGCTAACTACTAAAGATCATCACAAAACTACTGCCAACTGTGCACATTCTGACTTTTCTACATAAAAACAATACGGCAAAGAGGATGAAAATCTAAATGCCCAAAAAAAGGCCCTGTGTGTACTGAGTTTAATACAAATCATAAGCACAAACATCAATCATATCCTATTTCCTATAAAGTGGGAGGACCACCTATCAACACGCACCCATGAGGAAAATTTATCAAACTGAACCCATTCATTCCCGAACAAAGCAATATAAACTCGACTGTTCTGACCTCGGATCATGTCAGAAACAAACACCACTGGCGATGTTTCACCAGAACTCCTCCTTCCCCTCTTCTCTCTTCAACCCGGTCCTTCTCCAGCTCTGCGGCAGATTATCATCTTCCGGAGAACTTGACACAGCGCAGACCCCAGGGTGCGCCCCGGACCAGCTAACTCAGTTTCTGAGGGTCAGGCAGCAGGATCTTCCCAGGTGACTCCGATGTGGAGCTTGTTAGAAATGCAGAGCCTCAGGCCCCACCCCGGACCTCCTGGATCAGAAGCTACACTTTACGGAATAACACCTATTAAACAGTCAGGATGGTGCTGGCACGCTAACAGCTAAGTAGATGATACTGCCTCTGTTATTCAAGTCTGCACTACAGGCTCCATCCAGCTTTCTCTGATTTGCTCATGTTGTATTTACAAACCCCGCAGATAACTCCAGTGTTTCTTACGGGACAGCGTATGCTCCGTAACACATTTAAACACACAAATAAATCCTAGTCTATCCCCTTCTTCCTCCAATCAGGCCTTTTTTCAGAGTCCGAGGATTATGTTTCCTCCAGAGTCTCAAAGTTCCCAATGTTCTGCTACCCTTGAACATCCAAGCCCACAGGGCCCACTGGAAACAGCACACAATCCAAATGTGGGCCTCCCGGCCCCTCCTGCAGCCCCGGTTCCCCCTCCCAGGACCCTTCCTCCTGCCCCACGGTCTTTCCACCGCTGAATGACATCATTCTTCGAAGCATCATTTGCCCTGTCAAAAGTCCTACAATAGGTACTTCTAGCCACTGGAGGAGAACGGCAAAACATATTAACCTTTTCAAATTGAGGTGTGAGATATCTGAGTGACATCAAGCTCCTTCAAGACTCTGCCTATTTGATAGGCTTCCGTTTTTATTTTTTACTTTGAAGCACAAAGCTGAATATAAAATAAAGACTCAAATTTTATTTATTGAATGAATGAACTGCGACTGCTGTGTCTGCCTAATGTAATAATGTTTAAAAATAGCCCTGGCTAGTGTGGTTCAGTGGACTGCATACCAGATGGTGAAATGAAGGGTCGCTGGTTTGATTCCTAGTCAGGGCACATGCCTGGGTTGCAGGCCAGGTCCCCAGTAGGGGATGCATGAGAGGCAACCACGCATTGATGTTTCCCTCTCTTTCTCCTTTCCCTTCTGCCCAAAAATAAGTAAAATCTTTTTTAAATGCTTAAAAATAAAATTTGCCTTAATCTGTCAAATGTTTGCATTAAAAAGAACTTGCTTTCCACTCCATCCATTCCTTCACACTCCCCGCCCTCTGTATTTTAGCAATAGCTCCTGGGTGGTCCCGGCACTGCAGCGAGATCTTTCCACCTCCCCACCCTTCTGTTTGATGATTAAAACCACCTCAGAAGGGAGCCCCGTCATTGTAACATTTATGTGCCAGCTAAGGACACAGATTTGGAGACCTGCCCCTTAGGGTCACAGCCAGCTGGGCTGGGAGCTGGGCTGGGAATCCAGGTGTCCTCACCCACTCGGCGGGGTCTGTAACCACTACACTGTGACACATCCTTCATCGCTTGTTTTTTCCCACTGGCCTGGCATTTTCACACTTCCCTTCAAGTTGTGCAGCCCCTCAGATCTTCCTTGGGGATGAAGAGTTGTCAAAGCCAAACCAGAATCGTTAAAAAGGGAGCAATCCTAAATGCAAACATCGTTCAATCTCCAAGCAAATCCAGCCTGGCTGCCCGAGAATTAGTCGCAGATACACTTCCAGAAAGCGCGCCTTGCAAGGGCAGGTTTCAGAAAGGAAAGATGTGCTGAGGAGAAAGAACATTAACGAGTGTGCCTTTGAATAACCCTGAATACGTGTCTGAACCTCTGCAAACATCAGTGAACACTTAGACACAAGCCCAGTGACCGTCAGGGGCTGACGAGATTCACAAGATCATTTCTTCTGACAAGCCTCACCCCCATTTTCAGTGGGGTTCCTTGACCAGAAGAGCAAGGAACACACAGGAATTGTTCCTTAGACAACACACAGGAATTAAACTTCCCTGAAGAGGACAGGGCGCTGAACGGTCCTTCTGAACCACATGGACAGAAGGGAGGCCGATGACCCTGCCTGCATGGTTTTGAAATGGGCTGACCCCTTGGAGCCGGTACATGCGGTCATTTGCTCAACACCAGTCTTGGGTTTGTGCGGGACTGCGAGAATATGGCGCTGACGAGCGCAGCTGCAGACCCGCCCCCCTTGGATTCCTCGTTGTTGGGGCATCTCCGCTGCCCCAAGAGACCCAAGAGAGAATCTCCAGGGTTTAACCACAGCCCTAGCGGCCGCATCTTCCTGTTTAACATTCCTTATCGAAGACAAACGAATGTAGGCTTATTCAATTTTGTAAACAAGAAAAATCAGGGGAAAAAATAATGAATTCTATGGGGATATGATATAATCTAAAATGCTTTCAACATGTTGGAACGGGGCTAAAGTGAGATAAAATCTGATGAGAATACATTTACTGTCCTACATCAAAGTTAAAGAAACCAACTGCACAAGAGCAGGATGGGAGATCATTTTAACAGCAGCCTACATTAAAAAGACCGTAAGGTTCTAGTTGAGTGTGAGTTCAATAGGAAGAAAGGTGGTGATGTAAAGGAGTAACAGGAGAATCGGGAGACCAGGATTTTAGTTCTAACAAGTGGGAGTGTGGTGAGGTGCCAAGTCACTGAATTTGGAGAGTTGCTTTTCTCATCAGAACATCAGGGCAGATGATGTTCATTTTGTACACGGCCGTGTCCCCAGCACCATGCAGTGTCTGGCACATAGAAAGCATTCCCCAAGGGCTGCCAGTCAATACTATCATGTGTCCTCCTCTGTTGACACACACACACACCGAGCAAAGCCCAGTAAACTCTTGGGTTCAAGAAACAGAAAAATAAATGTCTGAGCAAAACAGGTTTTTATCCCATAACCACATAATACATGTGGTTTCCACTTTCAAAAGACCACTGACAAGTTCGATATAATGCAGAGAAAGGTAACCTGTTGGTTATGGATTTGGCTCATCATCTCTCACGAGGACTCGATGAAGCAGTGGATGAAGGAACTGGGGGACGTTCTGCTCCGGGAAAAATGAAAGCTTGGAAGAGCCACGGTAGATACTTTCAAATATTTTGAACACTATTATCAGTCTTAACTCCAGAAGGCAAGTGGAAACACAAAGATAAAAATTAGCAAGAGGGTCCAATGTAGATTTCTAGAACAGACTGCTCTCCACCCGAGGAAATCTTCAAGTGACTGGCAGAAATGTTGAGGAAATTAACTCCTCATTGAGCTGCATTTTAGGTGACCTCTAAGGCCCCTTCCAACTCCAAGAGTCCATGACTTTGTACTGACGTTTAACATGCAGCATATGGAAAAGCTTCATTTTTATTGCATTTTATTTTTATGTAATTTAAAAAAATGTCCAGTTTTTAATAATGAATCTAAAGTATTCACTGAGTTGAAGAAGAAACCTTTCCATTAAGCCCAACTTTCCATGGTTCTTTAGCTGTAAGTCGATGGTGAGCATAAATACCTAACGCCCCACCACCGTTTCCCAGTTCCGCCCTTGGGTCCCCTGTGGGTCGCAGCAGTACCACCTTCAGGTGTATTCTGAGATGCGTGGGACAATGTCTGCCATTCAAGTCTTACTAAAATAAAGGGCTCCTGCCTTGGTGGGTTAAAGCAGAAGACACCCGAATTTTTAAAAACATATTTTAAGTAGATATACTATATCCATTTTCATATATGTATAAAAATACATATATACACTTATATATATATTTAATAAAATGGATATACATACATCTATTTATATATATATAAATATATATGTGTATACACACACACACAAACACTGCTTGCAGACAAAGTCCTTTCTTGTAGGAATGACAATATGTAGGAATATTTATTGATTTCTAGGCTATGTAGGGACTTTGAGCTAAGAAAAATGAGGAGCAGCCAACTTAGCCAAAAGGAGCAAGATGTGAGAGGAAAGTTCAACTGTAGTTTTCTTTTTGCTTTTGCCCTATCTGTACCTGCCAACAAAAAAAGCCCACTCTTAATAATGAAAATGCATGTTAGGGTTTAAACAAGGTGAGCTTCTGGCTTAAGTGTGTGTCCCTGCTAGAGCAATTTACAAAGCACATTCACAACACTGTACTGTAGGTGTTACCATCTCATTTTTCGGAGACCTGAGTAGTCAAAATACAGGCAGACCGGGAGGCACGACTCAGGCCCCCTCCACGTGCTCTGCTCCTTCTCCAGAGTACAGTGCCATCGGAAGAGCCCAGCCTCACCCTCTGATCCCATAGCCTCTTGAGACTCCTGGGCAGGGAGCAAAAAGGAAAGCACAGTGGACTTACCTTTGCACTCAGGGGTGGGCTCTCCGAGAGAATGCCATGACACAGCAGCCTGTGGGAAGAGGCAGCAGGACAGCTGGATCCAAAGACACTAGGAAAACTGGAGCAGAGCAAAGATCACACGGATCAGGCAGAACATCAGAAGGCTGACTTGACAGCTAGACTTCCTGTGTCTGTCTGGTTACAGCTTTACCAACTGGAGGGAATTTCACTCATTCCTTTGGTATACTGGACCCGTCAGAGGCCGGGGCTGCAATGGGGAAGATAACAGACAAACCCTGCCCTCAAGTTGCTATATTCCAGGAAAAGCAAGGAGGAGGGTTCCTATCACCACCAAGCTGCACACTAAATGTAACGAGTCAAGTTCACCTGGAGAAGATGAAGGGAGACTGCCCTCCCCAAAAGCCTCCAAATTAGTGGTCAGCCTCTACAGTACGGAGCTGAGTTTGCACTCTCAGAACATGTGGGTGCTCAAAAAAGGTTCAAATTATAGAAGATGTGTCAGTTTACAGTTAGGGACCATTTAATGCTAAGAGGTAAGAGTCAATGTTCATTTTTTATCTGAGAAAGTGGGTGACTACATCTTTGAAAACAAAGTCTGTTACCAAAATAGTAGCCAAGTACAGTTCCAGAAGAGGCATGGACCGAGCCCTCAGTCACACCGCGGGGAGGTGTTTGTGCACTTGTCCAAGCACAGCTGAGGAGGTTAGCAAAAATCTATGTTCTAGCCCAAAAGTGGGCAATTAAAAAAAAATAATAAAAGGCCAGACAACAAATGTTTTCTTTGTGGTTTCTCTCCCAGCTACTCAATTCTGCCTTTGTAGTAAAGACAATATTAGACACATAGGTATGGCTGTGCTATATTAAAATTGTATTTATAAAGCAGGATGCTGGTCTGGAAGTGTTTGTTCTAATCACATGAAACAGTGTACCTTAGGATATCAATGAATTCTCCTAAGACTGCTCTTCTCTGTTTCCTCACATTCCCAAAGGGCCAGGCTACGGAAAAGGGGGTCTCGGTGCTAACACTGTGTCTCCTAAGTGATATGGTTCCTGGGGGGTAGGCAGGGCTCGTAATGATCAGTCTGGGTTGTGGATGCGATATGGGGCGACCAAAGGCCTTAGCTTGCTGGTTAACTTCCTGTGTTTGGGGTCAGACGCACTGAGTGGTACACTTTGATCATCGACCCCTAGTTTCCTGTTTTTTTTTTCCTTCATTTTGTAGAGCTTCAAGCAGCACAAGCCCTTGAAGCCACTTCTTCCCTGCTGCAGCCCCTCAAGGCCCTACCCCTTATCCAGACGTTCTCCCCTTATACAGATGTGGTCCCCGAAACTCTCCATGCTTCTAGCCCATACCCTCATGTTACCCTCTCCTCTAACTCACAATGTGCCAACAGCTCTGGTGCCAAACCAAATCAGTATTTATAATATGAAACTGTTCATTAAGATAAACCATTGTGTGCCTTGACTGGTGTGGCTCAGTGGGCTGAGTGCCAGGTCTGCATCGTTGGTTCGATTCCCAGTCAGGGCACAGGCCTGGGTTGCAGGCCAGGTCCCCAGTAGGGGGTGCTCAAGAGGCCACCACACACTGATGTTCCTCTTCATCTCTTTCTCTCTCCCATCCCCCCTCTCTAAAAATAAATAAATAAATAAATAATCATAAAAAAAGGACATTGTGCACAGTCCCAAAAGAAATATTTGCCAAAGAGCCTACGGATAAGACAACTACAATTTTCAAATGCATGTTGTACAAGGTCATTTAAGAGCACCCTGTTTGACTCCACACACTTGACCTCACTCACGAAGCTGTGATATATGGTTATCTAACCACACTGTGCTCAAGAAAGAGCAATGACAGCTCTTAGAGCTGCAACAGAAAAGCATATTTGGCCTGGACGTTACATACAGTGGTGAAAGGGATAAAGGTATTTCTTAAAATGGGATTCTACCCATTTTATCCAATGATGGATAGAACACAGCCTGAAATTGGGCTCAGAGAGAAGGCAAATCATTTGAAGATGAAAGGAAAGAGAAGGAAGTATCCACTGCAGTATTTTCTTAGGGATAAAGTGAATTAAGTCTGAACTTGAAGTTGACTATAACTACCAAATTACAGTTACAGAGGTACATTTTCCTGAGGTAACGTGATATTTTAATAATTCAATTTTTAAAATATATGTATATTTTACAAAATGACTTAACAGACCTTAATTAACTCTTGTACTTCACAAATCAATCCTTTGAGGGGAATAAATATAACAGAATTTGTAGGTGTGTACATGATCCTTAAAGTTTTGTAAAGGAGACTTGGCCAGGTAGCTCAGTTGGTCAGAGTATCGTCAGATATGCGAAGGTTGCGGGTTCGGCCCATGGTCAGGGCACACACAAGAATCGACTAATGAATGCATGAATGGGTGGAGCAACAAACCGATGTTTCTGCCTCTCTTCTCCCCTTCCTCTCTTCCTCTCTAAAATCAGTAAGTGAAAAAAAATTTAAATTTTGTAAAGGAGACTATTATTATGGTCAATTTTAACCATGTAGGATAATGTCTAAATTAAAATAAGATGAGCTTACCTGTAACATTTCAGATGAGACCAAAGCACTAGCTGAAGTTCTTTGCTGTTTTCTGTATCCCATGCTTTAATTAAAACAGATTTGCTGGGGACTATTGAACAGAAGAACAGAAAAATGATATATCCAAGTCATAAAAAACACTGGGCACTATGACATCTGAAATCAATGTTCTATACCTAGCAAGCTGCTAATTATTATATATCGACATTTCATTTTTGAAAAAATAATCCTTTTGTTTTGCTTTGTGTTCTCAAACAAATGCATCTCATCTGGAGTTATATTAGGACACTGTTTTAACAACAGGCTTTATTTTGAGGGCTGAAAGTACTCAATGATCATTCATTTGAATGAACCTTCCAGTCTAGAAAAAAAATGTCATATATTCTTATCTCTTAATTTTAAACAGTTCCCTTCTCAAGACTGATGCAGATTCAGTTTGGACTTTTATCAGGCATCCACACAAAATCAGATTCTGAAAACACAAAATCAGCGCCCTACCTCTGCCTAAGCCCTCTGGGGAAAGCTAAAACACAAGTTGTTCACAGTTGTTCTGCAAACTCAAATCTCGTACCTGTGAAAACAGGAAAAAAAAAAAAAAAGGACATGGTTTGGTAATTTCTTCCTCGGTAGTATATCTTCCTGACAAAACAGCCACCTCCTAAAAGCTGACACGATGTGCAAAACACAGAAAAAGAAAGCCCTGTCTGCCGGCAGATCGCCCTCCTAGTCCGGTAGAGCAGAGTGGAAGACAAGGAACGCAACCCGACCTTGCTGTTGGCATCATTCTTACTGCTTGGGAAAGTGAGACTCCATTGCACCTTGAAGACTTCTTTTAAAACGCCGAGCATACTCCTTAAGATCTCCCCTTACAAACCCTGTAACCACCAGCGCTTTCCTCCACTTGCGCCCAATTCGTCCATTCTTTCTTAGGTCCACCTTCTTCCCAATCCCTCCCTATGAAGAACCCTCCCACGATTCGGCTCCGGGCCTTTCCCCAGGGCCTTGGGAATGCGTTCGCCACGGGCCTGTTGGGGATCCGGGAACACCAAAATAACATCTCGGTTCTCTCCTCCCCCCACCGCCGCCGCCAAGGCCCCCTCGCTCCCGCAGCTCTCCGAGTTCGTCTCTAGCGCTGCCCTGTGGGCGGGGGCCGAGCCCTGGAGCAGTGCAAGGCCCTGAGTGCTCGTTACAGCCGCGGCCTCAGCCCCCCACGCACCCCGGCGCTCCCCCTCCTAGTCCACGGCACCGCCGGGCCCCTTCTCCCGCGCTCACCAGGGTGGAGTACGTGTTCATCACGGAGGCCCCAGTCTTAGGGCTGGGCCACTTGTCCCGCGAAGCCCGCAGCGCTCTCGGCGCTGAAGGGCCGAAGAGGTGGGCGGCGCCGCCCAGCCGCCCTCGTGGTCCCCGTCCTGGTCCCAGGGTCCCAGAGGCAGAAAGGTCCCGGGAACAGCCCGTCCCAGGGCCCAACTCCCCACCAAGCCCGGGGATCCCCAAAACCTCAGGGCTGCCCCCAGACCCCTCCTCACCGTTACCTTACGTGCGCAGCGCGTTCCCAACTGGATGGCGTGCGGCGCGGACTCTCCCGCCCCGCGCGCACACGCACCCTCCGCAGGGCCGGGCACGCTCAGGCCACGCGCAGGGGCCGGGAGCCCCTCGCTCTCTGGCAAGCGCTCGCGGCCCCTCGCAGCCCGGGGGCCGCAGCCCTACACACTCTATACGATCCTCGCCATCCCCAAGTACCATCGCCGTGGTATTAGGTGTGCATTTTACACTTGAGGCTGGCAGATATTAGGCGATTTAGTGAGCAGACCTCCCGAAAAGATTTCTGCTTCAGACTCGCTCCTCGTTGGCTGCTTGCAAAGTTTCCAGGCCTCATAAAGGTACGCGCTGGAGGTCGGGAAGGATTTACTGATTAAAAATCCTCATGGAGCTATTCAGGAAAAAAAGAAAATTCAAGAAGTTCTTTGATCTTTCAGAAGAAATGCGCATTCGCGTTCTAGAATCCATGAAGAACGAAGGGTGGGAGTACATACAACAGGGTTTCAACGTACGAACAGGAATCCCGGGGAGTCGCGTGCTCTCGGGAAACGCCTCTCTGAAGCCCTGCTTTGGTGTGGAGAATTGAAAGAAGGTCAGTGCCACCCAGAGTGGTCACCTTTTAGGTAGCGCTCCCTGGGAGGTAGTGGAGAGGCTTTCAGACGTGAGAGCTGGGTGTTTGTCGAGTTGTTGTCATACCGGTCTTTTGAGTGGAAGTGGTTGTATTAATTCAGAAATAATTTTTCTCCTTTTATGGCACCCCTGGAAGAGTGTCATCTGCAAACAGGTTCTCATACTGGCCACTTGGCTGTGGGGCTGTGAAAAGCTTGGCTCCAGCATTATTGTGTAAAAAGTTGAAAAAATAGTTTAGTGAACACCCATATGTATTCCTCCAAGATTGTATAAAAACACTTTTTTCATAGCTTCCTTCTATGTCTCTTTCCTAAATACTTCAGCCTGCATTTCCTAAGAATAGAGACAGACATTTTTCTATGCAACCATGTAAGAACCTTAATCACGTCTAAGACAGTCTAATAATTTGGTAGTATCTAGTATCTAGCCCTTATATAAATTTCTCCAGGTATCAAAAAAGTCACATGTAAAAAGGTAAAACAAGGAAGATCCATGCATTGCATTCGTTGTTATGTTTGCCTTTTTAAAAAAATGTACAACAATCCTCCATCTTTTTTGTTTCATGGTATTAACTTTGTGAAAAGTTTTGGCCAGAGGGTTTTACTTTCTCAGTCTGTCCCGCCTTTTTTCCTCCTGATGTCATTTAACTGTTTATCTGGTAGTCTCATCTGCAAGCTAGATGGCAAGAATCCTTCGTGCTTTACAAGGTACTCTTCATACTGTTTGTCATCAGGAAGAATATAGTATTAAATATTGAGCACATCGTAGTAATTCTTAAATGAGTAATATTAGGTTGTCTCAGTATCAGTGATCACTGAAATCTCAAGTGTCCTCCAGACTTCTTTGTTATAAAGTTCATCCCCACCCAACTTTTCTGTAAAAATTCTCACTCAAGGATATGTTTATTGGTTGGCGAGAGGGAGGGAGAAGAGAGAAACATTGATATGAGAGAAAAACACTGATTGATTGCCTCCCATACCCACCCCAAACTGGGGTCAAATCCACAACCTAGGTGTGTGCCCTGACCAGGAATTGAACCTGCAACCTTTTGATGCACAGCATGATGCTTCAACCAACTAAGCAATGCAACCAGGGCATAGGTTCCCTTTTGAGGTTAAAAGTCTGTTCACCTAGCTAACAGAGTAATCATCTGGATCATTCTGGTACCTACTACTTCAGATGCTTCATTAAATTAAATACTAGCTTTATTCAAAGAAGAGTAAAACTTTGGTTTCTGTGGAGTTTGGGCCACTTTAGAGTTCTTGTGGATAATTCTGGAAAAACAAGATTTTGTGATATAATCCAGGAGGAATTTTCTATATTTAGCTGGCATACCTGATCTAAACTCCCAGCTCCATTCTAATAACAAAAACAAGTCGAGAATATATAGTACCATATGTAATCTCTACCTGTCGTGATCATGTCTCCGTATCATAGCTTAGATATCTATGGGTGTGAGCTCATCCATTTAAGCCCATAAACTGCTGGGCAAAAACTATGTCAAGCTTACTCTATATAACAGTGACCACCTCAATTTCCACAAGAGAACTCTCAAAGGGCATCATCTATTCATCAGACAAATGTAACTGTTCTAAAGAAATGTAGTGTTTTAAACAGCCTGTATCCCCACTTCTCAAAAGAGGACAGTTTTTAGTAAGGCAGTCTAGGTCTGTGGGTGGTATCAATGGTTTTAGTTTGCATCAGCAAGTAAGTGTTAGCATCAGCAAAATCAGTGTTTGCTCTAGCCCTGCCAGTTGATGTTAATTTCATCAGAGTTGGCCTTCTAAGAGTCCAAAACAGGAGCTGCAAGGCAGAAGCTAGTCTCAAAAGTTTTGTAGCATCATTTTGTCACATTCTATTGGTCAAAGAAGAAGCATAGGATCATTTGAGATTCGAGGGGAGGGGATTAGGTAAGGACATGATTGGCAGGCGATGAGGTTTCCTGGTGGGGCGTGGACACCTATTTCAAAAGGAACTACCAGGCCAAATGCAAACACAGATGTATAGTATTTGTTGTCGTGGTCCTTTTCTCAAAATCATGTGGGTCTGGGTCATCTGTTTAACATCAAGCCATAATCACCCATCGCCAGCTGTGACCCACACATTTGTATGGGCTCTTAGGGTGGCCCACCATTTCTCTTCTTTTCATCGACCGATTCCTTGGTTCAGCAGCTTCTTCCTGAACAGAGCCTTCTAATTTCTGCAAAAAATAAAAGAATAGGGAGTGAAATGTGCACTTAAAAATCATTTATGGTCATTTGAAAGCTCTCTGAAAATAATAGAGGTGGATGTAGGAGTTAAAATGGGCATACCACAGAACTGTTCTTACATAGCAGCAGTGTAGGTTCAGGCCATGGACTTGGCTGGACTCAGCTGGCACTGAATAAACATTTAGCTGGCACTGTATAAACATTTCACTCTAAATTGTGATCAGGATTCCTTTCCTGCTTCTGGCACCGGCAGGTAGCTGTGCCCTTTGCAAAGGGTGAAGTGATTGCTGCCTGCTGATACCTTTATCAGAGCTGTTCTTCACCACACCTTGGCTGAAAGTTCACCTCATTAAGTAAAGAAAACCCACTAATAACAAAACGAGACAGGCTCTACTGCAATCAGATTATTTTATGGAAAAATAGACCTCTGCATTTGGGAGGATGCTGTAGGACATTGATGTTATTTCTTACAAATTCTCCATTTTTGTTTTAGAAAAGTTATTCCCCTACCTATGTTTTTAAAATATTTTATTTCTTTATTTTTAGAGAGAGGGGAAAAGAAGGAGAAAGAGAGAAAGAAGTATCAATGTGTGATTGCTTCTCGCACGCCCCCTACTGGGGACCTAGCCTGCAACCTGGGCATGTGCCCTGACTGGAAATCAAACCCGTGACCCTTTAGTTTGCAGACCGTGCTCAGTCCACTGAACTACACCACCCAGGACTACCCCAACCTTTTTAAAAAATGTTTTGCATGTCCCATGAATGACTAGTGGGTATGTGTGCTTATACCTTCCCACACCTCCCTAGAATGCAGAACAGAGTAAGGGACAGCAGTTTGGGGATAAGAAATTCTCCCAAAAAATATGAGTGAGAAGAAAAGGGCCAAAACCTTCAAGAGAATGTTTCCTTCGAGGTAGCCTCCTTGTTCTTTGTGCTGCATTTATTAGCTTGTGAGTCAATTATCTACTGTCGTAGAGCAAACCATCCCATTTATTAAAAACATCAATTTAATGTTTCTCACCATTCTGAAGCTTGGTTGGGTGGTTCCTCTGTTGGGTGGTTCCTTTGTGTGTGGGAGCTCCTTGTATAGTTGTATTTAGCTGTGGCAGGGATTGGTAAAAGTATCTGTGAAGGGCCAGGAAATGCATATGTTAGGCTATGTGTCTGTTTCATATTCTTCTTTGTTATCTATTTATTTTATATAAACCTTTAAAAAGTAAACGCTGTTTTTCGGGGTCCTACATAAAAGCAGGCTGAGGGCCAGACTCAGCCCACAGGCTGCAGTTTGCCAACCCCTAGACTGGAGTAGCAGCTGAACTGATGGTGGCCTCACTCCAGTGTCTGGTGGTTATTGACGCTGTTCGCTGAAGGCCTTGGGGCTCTTCCTCCCAGTGGATTTCCATTCTCTCACCGCTGGAGAATGTGGCTTCTTATCCTCCTTAGGCTACAATGTCAGTCTGTGGGCAGCATCCAAGAGAGTGGAGGCGCAAGCTGTCAGACTTGGTAAGACAGCCTGGGGAGTCAAACAAAGTCACTCAACCACATTCTGTGATCAGAGGGAGCCATGAGGCCAATCCAGTTCAAGGGCAAATAGACTCCTTTTCAATGGGAGGACCTGCAGACGTTATGGCTGCAGACAGCAGAACTAAGTAGCAGATTTCCATTGTGGTACCTCCGATGGAGATCAAGGGCTGATGCTAGCCTTGACATTAGATTGGCTCTGAAAGCTTTATTAAGATAACTTTACATAGAGCCATAAAATGGAATTTATAATGTATAATGGCAACTATTGTTCTTACTCTCTCCTCTGCCCATTCTGCCCAGCCTGCTTCCAGTTCTGTGAGCACGCACTCATCTCCCTCAGCACTTGTTTCCAAGTGTCTGTGGCGTGAAACCATCAGCTCCCAGGAGAAGAGACCATGCCTACTGCTCTGCCTGGCTGGAGTATATCTTCAATACATGTGTATGAATTTTTTTTAGTACTGAAGTAAATAAGTCAATTTATTTTTATTTGCTGAAAACATGACTGTATACATAGACGAGTCAATAAAGTCCAGATCGACTTTAAATCTAAATATGAATGATAAAATACTAAATTCTAGAAGAATAATATTTAAGTATTTCAAGATGTTGAGATAACAATATTTTCAATAAGACACAATAAGCTCCAAGCAGAAAAAGTTGAGGAATTGGATATCATTAAAATTAAGAACTTCTGCTCATCAGAAGACTTCAGTAAGAACGGAACCGCAGCTGCACGCCAGCTAAAAATATTCACAATGCAAATGCAAGTCAAGGGGTTTTTATTTTACCAGGTACTTCTCCTTTGTGGCGCTCCTCACAAGGGGCAGTTTTTCATTTATTTGTGTAATTCTCAGGTTAGTTATCTGTCCTTATCTAGGTCTGAAGTTCCATGAAAGCAGTAATGTTCCATGATTTTACTCACCGTTTTGTTCTACTGCCTGATATTGTGCTTAATGCATAAAAGGCAGTCAGTCAATAACTTCTTAGTGAATGAATAATTCTAATTTAAACCTAACACAACATCAATGAAAAATCAAAATGGCATGATATATTTGTGCATTTAATTTTATTAATAAGATCATTTTTATTTGCTCATCTCTATCAGTCTTCTGTAGCAAGAATATGGAATATATTTAAAATTATACAAAAAAAGCAAAATGAATGATAAACAGGAAAATCTTAAAAAGTTGAAGAATGGCCTGCAGAGTAAAGACA